CTACATAATGAATGAAAGCATCATGCCGTTGACAGTGAAGGGATAAGGACAATTATTAGTCCCCAAAATTAAAACCAAAACGAAAGTGAAATGAGGAACATATTACCTCAGTAGAAGCAAAAACAGCCAATAACTTGTCACAATTTTCAACTGTTAATGATTCCAGTTTGAAAAAGGAATCTGCATGCACCTTGCTGTGCCATATCATCTCCAAGTTTTTCAAGTGGGTGATAGTCAACCATTTCAAGTCGGGAAATGAAGCCTACATAATGAATGAAAGCATCATGCTGTTGACAGTGAATGGATAAGGACAATTATTAGTCCCCAAAATTAAAACCAAAACGAAAGTAAAATGAGAAACATATTACATGTTCATTGAAGAGCGTTTGTATGTAAGCTATGCAACTTGTGCTTTCAGAATATATAATTGTGAATCCCTCAAATTTTGGGTGGTTCAATCCTTCCAAATCCTTTAAGGATGGGAATTCAACCATACAATTTCCTAAGTAGAATCCAACAATGTTTTGAAAGTCTTTTATCAATAGGTAGTTCAATTGAAGAAAAATCAAATTCTCTTTTTTCTTTTTCTTTTTCTTTTTTTTTTTTTGCATTCTCTGGGAATATAATCACTCTCATCCTCTTGCATTCCTTCATTTCAAGTTGTTCAAGCATCACCAAACCTCTAGCCACACAAGATGAGAATAAAAATTCCAAATTATCAAAGCCTTGAATGATCAATTTCTTGACACAAAAAGATGCTATTGAAGTGAGCCATTTGATGTTAACATTCATCCAGCATAATTGCAGCTACTCTAGGCTTGGTAACACAACTTGTATACAATTCATTTTGTAAGAAAAGCTTATTATTTTGTTGATGGATAAAAAAAGGATGGTCAATGGTGTTAAAAATTGTCGAATGGAGGAGTTAAGTCATGTACTCCTTAACCATAGCTGGAACTATAGGCGGTGGTGTCTTAACTCGTTATTTCTAGGGAGTACAGTTATATGATAAGCACAATTTTTGCGTTGCACATAGATCTGTAAGGAAAATTTGGTCATTACTGTTTTTTGTTATCACTTGGACTGTGTGGATAATGGATATGCAAAAACAAAGGGTTACTTAAAGGCGAGGACTGACCTACTTATAAGGCTCTCTAATTGATTCAAATTAAAGGAGATCATTTATGTGGACAACAAGTAATTAAGGGGGACGGTTATGCTATCTCTTATTCAGATTGGTGTCTCAATCTTGCTATTTGTACTTCAGGACTGACCAACAGAAGAAGTTACCAAGATAGATAGAAGTAGAAATTGCATCAAAAGGCCAATGTGATGGAACCAGGCGGGTAACTGCACCACTAATTCCTATATATTTTGAGTGTGTATTGGTTTCGGCAGGCCTTAAATTAATAAGCACCACTAGAAGTATGTGTGCAATTGGATATAATTTAGGGGGTGCCAAGTTAGAATGTTGTTTATAAGTAATTCTGTAAATGATTAAAAGTATTATGAAAGAAAAATTTTGCTTTTGCTGATAAAAAAATCCATGAATTTTAAACTAAACAACTATAAAAACAAGAAAAAAGAAGAGATTTTTTGAAGTAAGTTGTGCTAGATTTACTTAATTAAACACAACATTAAAACTCCAAATTAAAATAACCTCATCAGCAAAAGATTCTTTTGGTGAAAAATGATAATTCAGAAGCAAAAACTTGAGAAATGACACAAGTAGACATTTAGAATGAAGGATGGCAGTAAACTTTGTTTGGGATGGTTAAACATTGTCCGATTAACTGATTTTCTTAAATTGAATAATTTTACTTTTTAACTTTTTAGTGGAGAATTTTTTTTTTTTTTGTTTAAGGGTAATTTTTTACAAATATTCCTACCATGCTATGGGATGAGGGAAAAGGATTCTTGGGAAATCAAATATTAAATCTGGGATGGTGTTTCCACTGAAGGACAATTTTTTAAGTAGAGAATTTTTAGGCACAACAAGTGAAGAGACATCTGTTGTACGTCATAGTTAATAATCAAAAATTTTTGTATTTAAAGTATTACGTTACACCTTTAGAATTAATATAGTAATAATAACAAGTAATGTAATATTTATACAAATGGGTTATTACTCATAGTTAATAAAATATAGTTTCAATAATCCTATTGTGTATATATAATTTATTATATATAATTACAAAAACTAAATATACATCTTTTCAATTGATCAAGAAAATTAATTATAATATTATTTATGAAGAATAAGCAAACATATATTTACACTTGAATTAAATCTAACATATGTAAAAAAATTTTAAACACAATTTGGATGATTGAGATGTTTAATTTGTTCGAATATTAGGAAAAAAATTATATAAGTTTTGTAGTGTTTGATTCTTCTTATAATTATATTTTTTGATAACCTTCTATTATTGGTTGTTACTCTAATTTGTTGCAATTATGGTTCTTTTAGGCACAATTGTCTGAGGTAATTAATATATCTATAAAGGTAATTAGGTGGAGATAATAGCAACATCGACACTGAAGAAACAAATACTCTGTAAAAGTATAATAAAATAATTTTTGCAAAATAACTGACCTTATCACTGAATACCAAGTATTTTCCTTGATTATAGTATGAGTTTCATTACAAGCCAATCTGATTATTGGTTGAAAAAATTGTCCCAAAATTGTCCTAAAAATTTCCCAAATTTGTCCTAAATTTTGTGTCAAGAATTATCACTCAATATAAAATACTACCTTTAATCCATTTTACTTATCACACTTTTGTTTTGCACAATTATTAAGAAAATTACAAAGATTTATAACAATATACTTGCTATTAGTTAAAATTTTATATTTACTGTCATTAATAAGAGTATTTGAGAAATTTAAATGTGATTTTTAAGAGTAAAGTAATTATTAATAGAGATAAAATTGAAAAAAAACTTTTTATTTTTAAGAAAATTTTAATACTATGTTAAAAATTAAAATAGACAAATAAACTAAACGATCCTTTCATAATGAAAAGTAAAAAGTAAAATGTACCCAGAGGAGAGAATAACGTGAGCTTGCCGTTGAGAGGGATGTATTAAATATGTCTGCGCCCATGTAATCATTTAAAAAGACAGAGTAAATGTTTAACGTTTATGTAATTAATTTTAAGAATGTCACTCAAAAAAGTAAATTTAAAAATGGTAAATATTATAGTCTGTAATAATTAAACTATCCATCGATGGTAGTGGTATAGCCTTAAATCAGGACGTGAGACCTAGCAAGTTAAAATTCAATCACTCTATTTTTTAGTTATTCTTCGACTCAAAGAAATAATAAAGGTGGCTTGGAAAATTAAAAAAATTAAACAATTTAATGACATACCTGTTCATTGAAGAGTGGCAAATGCCTGCAACTTTTGTGGAGACTACTCAGTTTTGGTAGACGTTGCAATCTCAAGGACCGTAGCACTTCCCCGAACTTTGGTTCAGTTGCTGCAACAATATCATTACTACTCCCTTGCTCTTTGTCATCAACAATCTCTTCCATATTGCTGCAATCTGTCACTGAAATTTCTTGTAGATGGAGAAGCTGTCTGGCTATAGAGGAAGAGAACAAATTCTTTACCTTGTCACAACATTCAATAGTAATAATTCTTAAATTGTTAAAAGCTGTGTCTTTGAACCGGCCTTGAAATATCTTCTCCAAATTAATCAAATTCTGAAGAAATAATACTTCCAAGCTGGGAAATGCATTGAAAGAAACCCCCTCCGCTGATTTAATGATATGTTGAACCTCTGAAGCATTACGGACATAGAGATTCTCCAAATCCGGAAAACCTTCAGTATTTAACTCATCAACCACATTCTTTACACCTGCCAACTTCCTTAGATGTAGCTCTTCAGTCACCTTCAACAACATTTTAACTAAGTAGTTAAAATTAATGGATGCATTTAAATGCAACTTCAATATTCTTGAGCTTCCAGAGGAGCTATACTGGCCTTCCCACTTACGTCCAATGAATATTTTGAAAATTTTCAAATTTTCAAAGAACAAATCTTTCGGGATCATCCGAATATCAGGAATGCATACCTCTAAATTAGTCAATTTCTTCAAATGCTTCAACTCAGCAAGGCCCGCATTTCTTTGATTTTCATTTTCCTCAACCTTCCATCCATCGAAGCTGTTTCCCAGAAACAGTTCCTCTAATCTGGACATACTTGCGAAGACGCGTGGGGGAATCATTCGGAGTTTGGTACAGTTACTCAAATCTAACAACTTTAGCCGAGTCAACTGCCCAATTTCTCTTGGAAGCTCTTCAACAACAGCCCATGGAAGGCTAAGAATTTCTAAATTCTTCAGCTCTCCAATAATACGTATGTCCCCCAACACGCTGTGATGCAAACATAATGTATGGAGGTTCTGCAAGAGGCAAATTGATGAAGGCAGGGATGACATATGGATGCGAGTCAAATCCAATACCTTGAGTCTTTGCATTCCCTTGAAAAAGTCTGCTGGAATTTTAAGAGAACGATCATCATTAACCAAACTAAAAAGAGTAAGCTGAGGACTTTCAAACTCGTCGGGAAGCTCATTAATATTAGCCTTTTGCAGCCAAATCCATTTGAAATCTTTCTTTGCCTCCATGTCTGACCACTCCCTCGGTTCATGATCACCGGTTAGCAGCAACCCATGACGATCCCTACTTGTAATTGATACAGCCACATCATGAATAAGGTCATGCATATCAAAACGTTTATTGTCAGAATCATCAATGAGCAAAGAAGAGGCTCTGAGCTGCCTTATCAAAGTAAGTACTTCATCTCGTGCTTCCTCTATGGTGTTAGCAAATAAGCCTAAGCCCACACCATACTTCAACAAGTCTTGAATTAAAGCCTTGTGACCCATTAGGCAGCAAAGCAAAAATGTTTTCTTGAGCTTCTCCCTTTCCAAACTAGAGTAACTGACCTCAATAGCAGAATAAACCTTTGCAGGTATGCCATCAAAGTTTTCTGAAGAGGGCTTTCTTAGTTTTGTCAAAGCATCCCTCCATTCAAAAGGCTTCTTATTTTTCAAAGCAATTGCAATTGTTGTAATTGCAAGAGGCAAGCCCCCACATTCCTGGACAATCTCAATGGCCGTACTGTGTAGCTCCTTACTCTCAGCTCTGTCACCAACTATCTTTTTAAGCAACTCCCATGCTTCTTCAGATTTTAATTGATGAAGTGAAAAGTTCAGTGGACAATCCATCAGATCTGATAAAACATCAGAATCTCTGGATGTCAGCAGAATTTTGCATTCTGCAAATTCTTCTCTTGACGAGCCCCCCTCTTTTGTTTTTGGCTCGTTTGTAACTGGAATTCCAAGCTCCTCCAAATTTATTCCAGGCACCCAAATATCATCCAAAATGATTAAAACCTTCTTCATATTCTTCAGCCTTGCTTTTATAAGTTCAGCAGCATCCTGAGTTCTAATTCCATTAGGAAGCTGATCAAGACCCAAGCCACGGGCAATTTCAACTTGAATCTTGTTCGAGTCTGCATTCCTTGAAACAAGAGCCATAACTACCGCATCGAACAGCTTGTCTTGCTCTGCTTTTCTTTTAACTTCTTTGGCCAGCATCGTCTTCCCCATGCCAGGCATCCCGTGCACCCCTATAATGCTGCTGCTTTGACTTTGCAGTGCCT